AGTAAGATTATTTTATTACAATTATAAAATTGCTAATTAATTTGTTTTAATTATATTAATTATTGTGACTTCAAAGGATCTGCAATGAGGGCCCATAGTTGAGGCTCCACCGTGGATCCTTACGAGATGTTATGGGCGTTGATTTCAATTTTATAGTAAGGGTGTTAGCACCCATTTCGGCAATCACTGCTTTAAACTATAGTTGGCATTTATTGAAGTGCTAGCACATCCTGTACTCGACATTTGTTCAGAATTTCTCTGGTTTTTCTAGCCACTTCTTGAAATGCTAACCTGATTTCTGCAGATGTTAAAACGAGTGCATATTTCGGCATCTGTCTAATGATTTCATGTAATATCTAATGGCTTATTAGCACGTGGTGTAATCCAAAACAGTTGAATGTTTTCCACACGTCTATATGTTGAATGTGAATTATTTGATGAAAATACACCAATATATAGCAATCATATCAAGATAATTGCTTTTTGTTAATATGATAATACAGCAAGATATAATGGCTATACGGACTGTGTGCCAGAAGAATGTGTCGGCCGGATGACTAAGAATCATTCTACCGCTCGGGGGAATCCTGGATTGAATCCAATCGTGCACCTCCCTGGGAATTTTCCGGTATCCAGAAATCCGCGTATAACAACATACAGAAATGCAAAAACATTCGCCGTTTTTTTATTATGCCATATGCTAATGAGTCTTTAGGCATTACATGAAATGCCTAGCTTCATTAAACATATGCTGAAATGTCCATCCGTTTCATCATAGGCAGAAACGGGTGGACATTTCAAGAAGTGAGTAGAGACGAGACCATGTGGTGAATTAACTTCTCCACAACTTCCTTCAAATGTTTTTCTATATAAGCATTCCGCTTCAGGATCATGCTTCAAGATTTCGGCATTCTATCAGATTCCTATCTGATGGAATGCCGAAATCTCAAAAAGAAAATGGGAAACATATACAGTAGACCTATATGCATATATGAACGGAGTGGAAAAACTGTCTGAAGATCAGTTTCCTGATACTGATTTCTATATAAAGTGCATGAGTTTGTAGAGGAAAACGAATTATAGGAGTTATATTTGCAAATATTGTAACAGAAATTCTTACAATACTATCAGTACTTTATTATTATTATTATTATTTTGCCAATCCATCCAGCTAGTAAAAGTTTCTGGGGAAAACAGAAAATAATATATTATTGACTATGCAAAATTTCTTAAATAAATCTTTCATTATGAATACAAATATTTTAAAATAATGTATGATTTTTTTAAAATATAATTTAAAGCTTTGAAATTGAACCGTCAATGGTTGAGCCATTTTTGGAAGGTCTAAGTTTGAATGATGCTCTCGAAGAAAATCGTATATTTATCATCGATTTGGAAGTTTTACAGAACATATACACTGTGGAAAATACAGTGGTAAGTTTAAAAACATAAATATGTAAAAACGTAAAATATGTTTTTATTTTAGTTTTTAACTTAATAAACTTTTTTCCTAGTTGTGTTCACCTCTGGCTCTATTTTATTTGAATAATTCAGGAAATCTGATGCCAATTGCTATTCAATTATTTCAAGAGAAAGGACCAGATAATCCTGTAAATATTTTGAATTTTTCATTTTTTTTATACGTTTTTGCATCAGTTATATAACACATGCGACGAAATAAGCGCGAATATTTACGCCGCATCGTCAATTAAGCATGAGTAAACTAAAAATTTGGAATATGAAAACGAACAATGACGTAAAATAAATTAAAGAAAACATATTTGATCAGTCTCTGTTTAACAAAATCAAATCTCCACGGTCTGCTGCCTTTCGAACTTGTTTTCACACGTTCCGAAAGGTTCTCAGTCATAACTGGCCTCCCAGATGCTAATACACTTTGCTTTATATCTCAGCCATACTTTCCGCTTTAACTGATGCCAAAACCGTAAGATTATTCTCGATTGGGTACATTAGGCACATCGTTTTCATGAAGAATGTACCGTATCTCGTGTTGGTCAAAGGCAGGATTTCTCTCTCGAGAATAGTGGAAAGTTCTTCAAGAATGTGACTAGCCTCTTCTTAATGAACTCGGTACTATACATTCTTATTCGTATGTTAATAAAAAGTTTACATGGTGAAGACCCGAGACCACACGCGTGGAGTTTGGTTATCCAAGCCAAAACTTTCGTCAGAAACTTTGCGTGACGTTTGAACTGACAGAACTTCCTTTTCTTTTTTCATAGTGACATTTATTTCCAGTACATTCGGAACCACCCAATGTAAAAACGAGATTCGTCGTCCGTAACATTCAGGTTGTTTTTGCGCCGCAGATCTCCTTTGTTCATTCGTTGGCGTAACCTTGTTTGTTTTCCTGCTTCGCAATGTATTCGCGTGCAGAATTATTTTCATAATGATAATATTTCTTTTATTATTATTTTGAACTTTTGACCTAGCTTACCGAGAGACTAGTCTACCTTACCAACAGTGGCATCAACAGCTGCTAACCAACACTTCAGTCAATTCAACTCTTTTTCTTTTACTTCCTTCAGCTCTAAATGACATTTTCTTCTTTTCATCTCTCTTAATTGTCATATGTCGTGCTCTATAATGCGTTTAAAACGTTTTACATTGAAAAATTTACCTTTCATCAGATTTCTAGTATAAAAATTCCAATGATTTTTGTACGTTCGCCTTGTTTAGGCCTTCCATTTATAAAAATCGAGTGATTTTCAAAGAACATTCGAAACTGAATAAGCAACTGCGCGTTTAATTCCTTTCTTCACGCGAATTGTACAGGAGGTAAAATGTTATTCCAAATTTTTAGTGTTTTTTTTTATTTTAAATAATTTACCTTTTACACAAATACTTAAATTCTAATACAACTGTGTAAGCCATTGGTACTTTTATTTTTAGAAATTTACACACGGGACACGCGCCAAAATCAACGATAGTGTGCGCTTGTGTTATACAAATATGTAAATTTTTTCTAGTAAAAGAACTTTAATAATATAATATTCTAAAATTAATGTTATCGACGTATTTTCTAAGCTTTTCTCATATATAAATATCGTTAAAAAATGCATTTAAAATATTATTTTTAGGTATTTTTGCCTTCAGATCCTCCTTACACTTGGTTACTAGCAAAACTCTATTTTAATAACGCAGATGCTATATTTCATCAATCGTGTACACATTTAGGTAAGATTTATTATTATATTATATTAAATTACAGGAATTTATAAACAGATATTTGTATATAATGTCAGATATAATACCATTGAACTTGTAACGAAGAGAATATAAAATATTGTTTTATTATACTATCCACGTCACAGAACTTGACACTCCTATTGACATTTTAATCACATGATTTTCTATTTAAATTCTAGAATTAAATATAAATTTGTTTACGTCATTACATTATTGTATTATTTTTATTTTGGCATGTGGGGTGCGCGTACAATCGCTACGCGCGTCGTCGCGATTAATTTAAATCTAAAATTAATTACGCATTTATTAACAACTTGATGACAGAATTAACAGCAGTTTTTTTTAGTTTAATTATAATTAAATCAAAGGCATTGTATTAAAATTTACATAGATATGAAGTTAACTTTCAATTGAATCAGGTCATGTAATGTTGTTGAACTCTGAATGAATAGTTTAAATTCTAGTTTAAATTTAAACAAATCTAGTTTAAATTTTTGTTTTATAGAATAAAGGTAACAGAGATTCATTCTTAGTTTAAAAAATAACTGTAGAAGAAATTTTACAGAATTAAAAAAATTATTTTTTTATTCCAGGTATTACTTAAAACAAATGGCATTTTAATATATAGAATTAATAGTGTTATGGAGAAATTATTTTAGTAAATTAATTTCTCCATAACACTATTAGTGTGTAAGAACAGATGTTTTCTATATGAATCCTAAGAGAAACTGAATATGCAGCTTGAGTCAACAAAAACCATAAAATAAACAATCATCACACCTATAAATCTGCTTTATTATTGGAATGTGTGAATATTAAACAAGGAGTTTCCTTTCTTCCTGTTAGAATGTTGTAATTTCGCACTCTTGTTTCGAAACTACAAGGTAACCTAACACAGATGGCATTGATTCAATACAGGCTTCCTGTTTAAAACAGAAAAAAAAAGAGCCCACATTTATGCCTAGAGGCAGGAAATGACGTAACGATATTTCTGAGTAAAATATTTTAGGAGTGAATCTGGAGAAAACCCACAAAACCTTTAAAAATTGACTAATTCTCCTATACAAGCTCTAGATGACCCTGTGTGAGACATAAGGTATATAGCATAGGCGTAAGGCCCTGTTTGGAGAAATAAATTAATAACTAACAAGTGAATAGTTCATGGACAGAAGATAGTGAGATTGAATGTTAAATTTCATTATTATAGTTGACCTTGGAACTTGCACCTCTTCATACTTCAAAACATAATATTGGTTTACACATACCAATCATGGTTTAAAATATTAATTATCCTTAAAACACAATTTTTATATAACGTAAAAAACTAAAAATATTTTATAAAGAATTTATTTTTATGGGTTTTTTTTAAATATACTTATCAATGTTAATTAAGAAATTTCTCTTGAATTACATTATTATAATTCCATATTTTTAATATCTAGACATACATATAAATATTTTTATGGGGGAATAAAAATTGATAATGAATTTTCACTTAAGGTTTAACTCATTTGTTGATGGAAGGCGTGGTTATTTGTACGCACCGTCATTTGTCACCATCTCATCCACTTTTCAGATTAATGTCACCTCATTTTCTTTATTTGTTGGCGATCAATTCGTGAGTACATTTTGATTTCACTTTAATTGTTCTTTCTCATTTATTTTATTGAATCTGCCGAAATAAATTCGATTTTATAAACATTCTATTTTTCAATTTATTTCATAACAAGTCAACTGTATTATTAAATGAGTTGTTTAATGAGTTAAACTGATAATTGCGAATATTTTAAATAGTTTATAATTAAATTAATATAATATTTTATTTAGTTATTTTTGTCAGGAAGAGATGAGGCTGTTTAAAAGAAAATATTTCTTTTTATAATTAATATAAATTAAGTCGGGTGCGACGTGCGCGTCACTCAACGCGTCGTGTCGCGTCGAGTGACGCGCGATTTAATCTAACAAATCGCATTCGTATTATATTGTTATTTATTATAATTAATCTGCTTTTATTGCAGAAATATATTTTATTTTATCTATTTCTTTAATATTTTAACTCAAAACACAAACGCCGTGTTTATTGATAATGTGCGACGCGAATACGCGAAGCGACACACTCCAGTAATAGAACTACAATTTGAAAAAATAATAATAAAATAATTCAATCATTATAAATATTTACAAAATATATTTAGACTCGTCTTAATAAAATACGCAAGATTACGTACACAATTAAGTCATTCATTCATGGCTATTGGTCACCTATTCTACAATAGCCATTCAGTATGAGGAAAATTTTAAACGGGTGCAATAGAATGTTACGTAATTTGAGCAATATCCAAGAAACTTTAAGCAACTTTATTTCCTATTTAAAAGATTATTAAGTGTTCTAGGAAATTTCCTTCTTCCAAGTAATTTTTGATGACCCTTTAATAGGCTATCCAGCTTCCCGTGATGTGATAAAGAAGAAAAATATGTAATGGCGACACGTAGCGACATAACTATTATATCGCTATTATATTCTGTTTATAATCTACCTGCTTAGTTAAAAGCATAATTATTTAAATTATATTAATTATCGGAATATATTTTACCACTAATATAATATAATAGTGATAAAATGTATTAATTAGGAAATAAAAAAGGAACAATGTGATTAGTGTAGTAGATAAGCGGTGCGATGCGAAGCGACGAGAAGCGCTCCAAGCAAAGTATGTTAATATAGGCTATATTAAAATGTAGAAGAAATTACTTTTAAATACATATATATTTTATCAATTTGAATTTCTTAAAATAATGTTATTTTATTCTTCTTTTTATTTAATAAAGGAGAGGATTAGAAAAGTTAATTTCTCCTGGAGGATGGGTGGATAAAACCATGAGTACAGGATGCAAAGGGATGTTTCAACTGATCAAAAAATGGTTAAAAAAATTAAGCAAAATAATCAATAAATAAATAAATTTAAGAGTTTTTAACACTAAAGGAAACATTTATTTTACTGCTTTTAGTTTTAAAAGATGGAAAATGGACGTGAATGGGATATTGCCTAATGAATTTGCATCGAGAGGAGTAAGTTAAAACCTTCTATAACTTGTCAAATGTTTTAACTCAACAGTAAAATACTTCTCATACTTTTCTATAATAAAATTACATATACGCTTAAACTTAACTAAATTACATATTAATAATTAGAGAGTAAGATTTCATATAAGACGTGACGCGACGCGACGCGATACGATATGACGCGCCGCGACGTCTTACAAAAGGCAAGAAAATCCAGAAAATAATTGTTTGGAATTTACTTATAAATAGAAAACTAACGTAATTAGAACAAATAATCTCTTGAAAAATAATTCTCGAAAAAATAGAGCATTATATATATATATATAACAATTATTAATAATACAAATTTATTAACCATTCATAACACTTAAATATGTCATGAATGGTTAATAAAAATGATAAAGATGCGAATTTAAAATTAAATCAACAACTTGAAAATACAGAAAATGAATGTTTAATTTGGTTTTATTTACTATTTTGAGAATATTTAAAACCACAATTGATGGTTTCTGTACAGAGTAATGTCAAGGTTAACATGTACCACTCTGAAAGAACTTGTTTTTATGAAGTTGTTAATATTCTTTGACCTTTTAAAGCATCCAGAAGCTCATTATATTGAATCAATACGTCTTGTTATTTCCTAATTCTATATTTTGTATTATAATGATGATAATACATAATTATTGAGTAGAATCTCAAAAAACAACTGTATCTATTCGTTGTTCTTTTAATGTTAATTCACATGTTCTACTTTGTATAAACAATAAGAAAAAAAATTTAATGTTTTCTTATAGTTTCATGTTTAAAATTATTATTTAATTATATAGTTTTCAAGAAGTAATCATTACTTTTTTTTACAGGTAAATGATCCAGAAATTTTGCATTATTATCCTTATAGAGATGATGCAACTGCATTGTATAACTCAATCAAAAAATATGTTTCGAAGATTGTTTATCATTATTATGGTAAAATTTGTTGTAAACTTTGATATAAATTATGTTAAAATATATTAAAATGTAGCATCTTATAGAGAATTCCGAAAGTATAATTGAAGATTGGGAATTACAGAAGTGGAGAGAAGAATTAACCAAAGACAATGCAGAAGGAGGAGTTGGACTTAAAGTAAAATCATTTAATTTTTCGTCTAATATTTATTTGTTTCGTTAATAATGCGCATTCTGTGATTATTTTTCTACTTTTCTTCAATATTTTCATCTATCAAATCCTATTTTATAGATAAAAACATTCTGAATTTATAAATTCGAAAATAAAAATATGTAAAATATTTTTAAAAAAATTATTTGAAAATTGCCTAATCATGTTTTAGGCATTATTCACATTATCCATTTCGAAAATTTTAATAGTAAAACTATTTTAAAATATTCAAAACAGAAAATAAATTAATTTCTTTCTTATATATATGAATATTTATTAAATATATACCTAATGTAACAACTTGTAGCCATAATGTAATTTCTAATAATCAAGATTTTATGCATTTTTCACGCATAAAAATTTGATTATTCCATCTTTAAAACTCCTTAAAATCCTGATATATTTATACTAATATATGATATAGGCCTAATATATAACAAAAAAGTCAGAATTTTATGAAGTTTTGGAGTTTTGTGTAGTGTTTATGAACACATATATAATGGTTTAATTTAGAAGTGAAAGGAGTGCCTATGATAATATACAGTAAAACTTGTGTAAACCGGACTCTGTATCCTACCTAATATCTTTTCCGTTTTAAACAGGTTTTTTTACCTTTTCAGTTCTAAACCAGTTCAGATTTACTTAATACATATTCATATATAAGAAAAATGAATAATTAATTAATTTTACTTACTCTTTGAGTATTTTAAATGCCTTTTTAAAGAACTTTTATACCTTAAAAACGAAAAAAAACCAATAATGAGTCAATTAAAGTTTTTATAATTTCAATGAATTCTTAAGATAATTTTAAAAGTAGGTTGCAAATATTTCCTACTTTATTTAATATCAGAACGTTGACTGACCCATTAAACTTGTAAGAAAGGTAGAATTATGTATTAATACTTTCATTTTCTGTTGACACGTGGAAATTTCAGTTTCTGATAACTTTTCAATATTAAATTCCCGTTTAGGGAATACCAGGAAATCAAGGATTTACTCAAGTGGATGAAATCGTCGACGTTGTCACGTCAATCATTGCCATCTGCAGCATTAATCATTCGGCAGCTAATTTTCTACAATTCGACGAATATGCCTTCCCTCCTAATTATCCCGCCATATTATATGGAGAGCCACCTCGCGATAAAGTAATTTTTTTTTTTTTAAATTGATAAATAATAATTTTTAAATATATTTTTATAATTAAACTAAATCGTCGTATAATATTTTTTAAAATAATTTTTATTCTTAAAAAGAAATTAAAATGTTTTAATAACATACGAGTCTCTTCAAATAATTAAGCTAAATTAAAGTATTAATAATTTATTCGTCCTTCGTCTGTAATATAATAGAAAACAAAACGGTCTTTACCGCCATCTGGTGAAGATTTGTATTATTAAATTTTTAATGTGTATGATAATAAGCAGGAAGCGAAGTTTTCTTTCAATACTTGTTTCCATATTTACCCTTCTCTATCTCTTCTAGAATCTTTTCTTTTTTATTTTTTAACATGTCAAATATACTATTTCCTTCTTAAAAACTAAGTCTACTCTCCCCTAAACGCCTCTTGATATCTTATAAACCATCGTATTATCTATTCTTTTATCTTTCCCTCATTAACATCTCTATTTTTTTCCCATTCTTCTTCTTTATTTCTTATCCCTTGTACTGTACAATCTTCGGAAGAATCTTCACTTTTTCAAATTTTATCCTCTTAACACATTAATTTCCCGTTTTAAATCTTTAATTTCTATAAAATATATGCCTTTTCCAAACAGCTACCATCTTATACTTACAAGTTCCCTCCTCCTTTCTTCTCTCAGCCTGCGATACGAGTCCTTTATTGTTTTTATTGATTTCTTGCACGAATTTATTCTTCAATCATTTCACCATATTATTAAATAATTATCTATTTACCTATCTATCCTCTTCAAACTTTTTACATCTCTAGTATTATTCCCGACAAAGGTGAGATGCTATGGATAATCCTTATTTATTTTTATTGCTTTCGGAAGGGATAAATTCCATATTTATGAATTTCCCGGTCATACCAAGAAGTTTATAAATTTGGAATTTACGTCCTCCACTGAAGAGTGCCCACCAATGACCAAATGGATGAAACCACCGAACTCTAGAAGTTAGTCGCGGGTTCGTGCCTGAAAAAAGGGGCGTATTTCGCGTGTCTAACAATTAAACAGGAGCTAATTTCCTATTGAAAGTCTTACCGGTGGTATCATTCACTAGACATATCATGAAATTCTTGAACTTTGCATACTGCCTTTTATTTATTTATTTATTTATTATTTTAATTGTAGACACCTTTAACAGAAGAAGATATTTTAAATCATTTACCAGACAAAAGCGTTACCCTAGATATTATTATAATTACAAGGTTACTGAGCATGAAGGGTACAAATTCATTAGGAGATTTCGAAGTTCAGTATCTTTACGATCCCGTAAGCATTGAAGCTGTTGAAGAGTAAGTACAGTACTAATTTTTTTTATAACATTATTTCACTTTTTTATAATTAAAATATAATTATTAAATTAATTTTTAAATAATAATTCACAGTTTAATAACGTAATGTTCGATACCCATGTTGTATTCGGTACCCATTCTCCTTAGTACAGTTAAGAGGAGTTAAACAATTTTCGGGGTAAGAGTTACGGGAAGTTACGGTGATTAGATGGAATTATATTACATTTAAAAATATTAAATAGGTTTAGGGCCTTTATATATATGCATTAATAGTGGTGGCCTAATACCTTCGCGCGAATTAAACCTGTATTACTAATATATTTGTTATTTTATGAATTATAAATTTTATTATTTTACGAATTAATTTATATTCTTTATATATTTATTAGATTANAACTCTTTATTGGTAAATCACAGCACTGTCATATTCTACACCAATCATCTTTGGTTTTTTACCTAATGAAATATACTAAACATTTACAATATTAAAATAATAGGAAAAAAATATTGTTAGTTTAATCGAGATCATCCACTATGGACAAAATGACATATACTATGGACAAAATGACACATTAAGTATGGACAAAATGACATACACGTAAAAACTATAAAATTACTGACAAAGTTCACAAATGAAACGCTTGGCTCTTTTAGAAACGTCAGCGCAAGAAGCATGAGCCCAACGGAAACAATTTATGCATCGTAACCAGTCTTCTCCAGGCTTAGATCGGGAAAAAACATCATTGCAATATATGCATGGACAGTCTTCTTCATCATCTTGAGAGTTATCAGAAAAATTGTTTTCCTCGAGTAACTTTTTAGTAATGTTTCGTCTCCTTTCCTCTGGCGGAGCTATGGACTCATTTTTTGATTTAATTGCCTTTATATTAGGAATAGAAGTTAAAACTAAAGAGGTTTGTCGAGTCACGTGATTCGTTGCAAGTTTTTTGTTATGTGAAATATAATAAATTTGTAAATAATATGTAAGAAAGAAAATAAAGTTTTATACTAAAATTTCTTTTAAACAATAACGAAAGACTTTGTTTCGAAGACATTTTTGATAATTAATAAAACGTTAAGAGATTAAGGTAAGTTCCTTAACTAAGCTCTTATGGAGTAAATAACAGGTATGTCATTATGTCCGTTGTCTATGTATGTCGTTTTGTCCATATAACGTTATAAAAAAACAAAATTATAAAATAAATACAAAGATGTTACTTTTAATGGAAAAAGTTATTTAAGTGCAACAACAAATTCTTGAGGGTTGAAATAAATGTTACACAAATAGATAAAATAGTGAAAAAATTACCATCTATACAAAAAAACTTGTTGCAAGGAAAAAAACTCGTAACGTATCATTTCTTGTTGTCGGCCATGACACCCGGGCGAATGAGAGGAGTACGTTCACATTTTGACAAGTTAGTAAGAGCTGCTCGGATAACATTGTGTCATGGTCAGTTGCGAGCTTGAGACCGCCAAATTCGAATTATGTTGCCTATGTCATTTTGTACGTATATGTCATTTTGTCCGTATTTCCCCTATATGTTTCTCCCATTGTAACAGGCAATTGCCGTATTACAAATAAAGTGTAATTTGGATTGGATAAAAAAACGGATGGTCCAATACACCGTTTTGAAGTTCGAACAGATAAATTTTAATTCTGCGTATATCAATGGGGAGGAGTTAAGCCCCTATATCCCTCCCCGATGCCAAAACAAATACGAAACAGAGTATAAACACACACACACACACACACACACACACACACACCCAACTTCTTACACGTTACAAAGATTAAAGAAATTTCCCTTTTTTATCAAATAATTTCCATAAAAGTTCTACTCGATTGTCTTTGCGATTTTGATTATAAGAAAAATTGAAGAAGGCAACAATTCCGATAAGTTTATTACATTACTTTTCCTACTCAATGATTAATAAGGTGAAGAAAGCAGGAAAAATCTTACACATCATTTCATAATTAAGGGACGTATGTATGTATCTATCTACCTCCAGTGTATCATCAAAAAAGAAAAAAAAAATATCCATTGTACTAATGATTTTGAGTTTTATCAGTTATCTCAAACAACGTAGATTTTTCCAATATGTTCCAAACAAAAAAAAAAAAAAAAAAAGCGGGGGAGAATGCACGGCTCTAAAAACACGTCTCTTCTTCCATCAACGTAACACCAGACACGCGCGCGCGCGCTCGCGAACACACATACACACACACACACACTGTTATTAATCTAATAATGCTAACTGTCAATCAAGTAAAAATAAACCGCAAGTTTTTGGGATGTTGTAACAAAGATACCTTATTTTAAAATTCATCGTGTTGGCATTTTATTAAGATTGATGCTCGGTAGAAAAAGTTAAGCTTTTAATGCTCCGTTAAGGAAAGAAAAATAAAAATAAAAATAGAAAAAAAAATTAAGGCTTTGAACGTCTAAATTATAAAATATCTCAATTGTCATTTTACTAAAAAAAAAAAAAAAAAATTCAAAATGGTTGCTGCGTTGATAATTTAAGAATTAAAATTCGAAATTAACGTTAATTAGAATGTTATACTACTAAAAAATTCATTTTTGGGGATTGTACTACTAAAATTCCTATTAAATTATATTACTAAATTGAGAGTTATACTAATAAATTAATAGTATATATATATATAGGATGACCTAAAAGTTTGTTAACCGAAATATATTTCTTTTTAATGTTTCGCGATTCAGTCGATTGATTGAAAGAGTAGAAAATATACAAGTATATCTGTTAACTGCATTTTGGGCCATTATCTATTTTCTACACTTTAATAGAAGGTGGTCCAAAAGCCAGTTAACACACATACATATACGTTTGTACGCTTTTAATCATACGACTAAATTAAAAACCGTATATATTTATTCAGTTAAATAACTTTCGGACCACCCTACATATTTTAAATTAATGCATAAATACAATATATAAATTATATAAATTACTGTTATAACGTACACAGAACAAATTAATACAACACGCAACATAATAAATAACGCTAAAACACAATACCTAATTAATATAACGTAAACGAAACGAGAATTAATTTAATTCACAACACACAAATTGACACAATACAGAAATTACGTAACATAAAAACTAACACGATATACAAATTAACGTAATACAAAACACACAAATTAAATACAATGCATAATAGCGGCGGATCAAACAGAATCGAAAGGGTGGGACTAACTCAATAATTAAAAAGTACAATACCTTTTATTAAAATGTATTATATTTTCCATAGAGCAACAACTCGGTTAATAGTTAATTTATACAATTACGTTAAAACTTTTGTAAATAATTAGAACGATAATATTATTGTAATAATACTATGTAATATGTTATATTATTTAAGTAGGGGAAATACGGACAAAATGACATACGGTTTTATTTTAGGTTCATAACTCTTTATTGGTAAATCACAGCACTGTCATATTCTACACCAATCATCTTTGGTTTTTTACCTAATGAAATATACTAAACATTTACAATATTAAAATAATAGGAAAAAAATATTGTTAGTTTAATCGAGATCATCCACTATGGACAAAATGACATATACTATGGANTAAAATAATAAACGAAATAGTTATATTATTTCACGACAGATGGCAAGATAGTTTCGAATTATCTCACACTGAATTTCTCAACCAGTAGATCACGAACCTCGGAGTGGTGTATTACTTCCGAATATTGTCACGGTCTTCCAACGCAATTGGAAACGATGTTGCCAATTTAAACTGCTGAAAAGCACTTATCAAAAGATGTTATTACGAAAGTAGTACCTGTTTACCTTGTCTGTTTGTCACTAATTTTTCTTCGTGTCCTTGGTTTTTGGATAGCTTCAAGTGGTATTTATGTTATTACAGTAGTTCTTACATTGCAAATTTCGTGTGATTCGGGTTAATGTATAGTTTAAATATTTACAACATTTCTATTTTCTAATATAAAGGACTCTAATAACACTCTAGGCCGTCTAGGGCCTTACACTATGAAGGACCTCGCTCCATTCTAATGAAGTATTGACTGGATTAATTAACCGTTGGACAAAAAATAAGCAGGTCAAGAAAGAGGGAGACCACATCATTGCCTTTCATTGATCTTGTGGTACAAAACTCAAATTATGCAGTTAAACCATGGTCCACAAAACTAGGCCCTCACAATAAATAAAAAGAAATTAATTTAAAGTATTTGTTGGCGTAGTTTATTTTGAAAAATAAAATTTTATTTATTTTTTAAGTTTATTTTTTTTTCTAGTTTATAAATTCGTTGATATAACATTAAGCATCATTTGTAACATAAACAGAACAACTGTAAAGATAAATCAATAATTCAAATTGTTGTAAATATTTCAAGAGAATATTCAATTTTTAGGCGAATTCACTGCATCAATGTAGAATCAGTTGATAGAATCGGTTTGCCTGCTTCATTCACTTTTCCCTTTATATAAATAACTTTACTCTAAATAAACCTCTTAAAATAATCAATTTAATAAAATTCCTTCCACCAATCTTTATAAATATTTTAATTTAAAAAATCTAAAATAGATTTCTCAATCTTTAGTTATTTTTTCTTCAATTATTTTAAAGTACAGTAAAGAAATTCTTCGGAATGGAACGATCTTTTATGCTAAGAAAAACCTGTTTAAAGCGGAAACCTGCCAAATTGGAAAAATATTCAGTACACTGCTATTCTGGTTTATACAGGTTTTATTGTATTAAGTACAGTACCTGTACTTATTACCTACTTAATAAATTAATCTTTCTGTTTAATATATAAATATTTATTTAAAAATTAATTTATTTGTTATACTATGATATATTTACAATTTGGTTAGATTTTTTTAAAAATATTTTTTGGGGTCTTTTCTCCTTTAAACTTTGAGTTTGACCTTCATGTTTGACCTAAGTAAAATTTTTTTTTAATCCAAAATGGCTGAAATTGCGCATTACAAACACGAATTTATCTGTTAAAGTAGTGAAAGCCAAAAAAAAAAATCGATTGTCTCCGAGCTTCTCTCATTTTAAGTAGATCAGAACATTTTTAGAACTTTCCCTTCTAACTCTACTTTATCAAATAATATTTAAGATTTAATTAAATTCAAAGATTTGTTTTTTCAAATTTAAAATAAAATTTTCTAATGGTTTACATCTTTAAATTAATTATTTTTATATGCTTTAAAGTATTTAAATAATTTTTTTTTGTAAATTAAATAATTCAAAATCAGATAACGGCCGTTAAAATTGTTCTTAACGGTCGTTAAGTAGCGGCCGAATTTGATTGGTTGAAATTAAATTCAAAATTAACCAATAGTAACAGATAAATTTCAATACAATGATAACGTTTAGATTAATTATAATTTAATAATTATTTTNTTTATTTTTTTGTTCAATACACAAGTTATATAACACGTTAACAAGTTGAATTCTATCCTCTAAAGATTGGTTAACTAACTTTTGGGACACCCTTTACATTTCGGCACGTACAGAAATCATTATGCTTACACTAGAAACGTAAAATGTAAATTTTTAAAGAGTATTTTTTTTTTTTAATTTAAAAGTTATATTAATTAACACCAATAAAACTAATAGATAAGTCATATTCTGTAATTAAATTATTTCTAATCTGAATAAAAAATAGAAATTACTCACTCTTCTGCCGCTTTGACACTAACTGGATCATATAAATATTGAATTTCAAAGTCTCCTAACGAGTTTGTACCTTTCGAACTTAATAATTTGGTAATGACCATAACGTCGAGTGTTATTTCTTTATTGGGTATTTGATTCAGAATATCCTTTTCTTCTAAAGGTCTCTAGAATTTAAAAATGCCGCGATTTAAACCTAAATTTAATTTAATGATAATTAAAATTAATGATATATTAAATATACCTTATCTTTAGGTGGTTCCCCTGTTAATAATGAAGGATAATTGGGAGGAAATGCGTATTCATCGTATTGCTGAAAATTCGCTGCGGCGTGTCCTATGCTACAAGTCGATATAATTGAAGAAATTGTTAAAATAACATGTTCGTAATTTGTAAATTTTCCATTTTCGTCACCAGGAACACCCTAAAACGTCAAATTTTCGTGTAATTTTATTAATAAGTCGTATTAATTTGCATGCGAGCGCGTCGCGTCGCGTCGCGCGGAGTATTCGCTAACTCGTTCTCAACAATATAATAGTTTTTTTAAATATGTTCTTCTGCTTATATAATAAAATATTACACGAAATATATATCGTGAATACATATTTAAAACCTATAGAAGTTATATAAATATTTAAGTGACGAAAAAAAAAGAATTAATGTAACTTATTAAATCTAAAGCGACGCGCCGGCGCGCGCTAGAAGGTTTTTAAGATAAATGATAAGTCACGATTTTATTCATTTTTCTACAAATCTGTTTAAGTTATCTTAATAAAAATTCTTCAAACTATAAAAGTGATTTATAAAATTATAATTCTACATAAAAATTTTAACAAATTTGCAATATTTATAATCAAATTCTTATAAAATAATAAAAACAATATATTAAATAATTTCCATTTATCTTTAAGGAAATTTTAATATATAATAAATTGCTTAAATTTCAGATAAAAATAATAATTCTTTTCGCCTAACCTTAATTCCTACGCCGCCCGAACACCTCTCCTTTACCAATTCCTCCCTCCACTCTTGAAGCTCATAATCTTCAATAATACTGTCTTCATCTTCTAAAAATTCAAAAAAATTAATAAATTTAATTATAAAAAGGGCTTAAAATACCCTTATAAACACGATTACTTACCATAAAAATGATGTACAACTTTAGTTACATATCTTTTAATGGCATACCACATGGCAAGAGCATCATCCCTGTAAGGATAATTAGGAAAAGTGTCGGGATTATCCACCTAAATATTATTTTAGAATAAAAATAAATTAGAATGAAATCATTTAAATATTATTTTATTAAGTAAATAAGCGTTACTAACTTCTCTTATCTTAAAATTATTTGGTAATATTCCATCAACATCCATCCTCCACCTGTCTAACCTACGCTCATTAAAACATGACACCATGATTCATTAGTTAATTTATAATATAATTATTGAACTCATTTATCACAGCTTATGCTATTTACCCCTTTATGATCAATTGAAACATCCCATCTCTTCCTATAGTCATAGTTTTATCAACCCATCCGTTAACAGAGATCAACTTGGACAATCCCCGACTGCAATTTTAAAAATAAAAAAATAAATAATTAATTAATATTTATTTAACCGTAACGAAAAGTTGGATTATTATCGGGCTACATTACGGCTAATTAATAATCGTGAAATACTAAGTAATTTGGCTACAAATAAGCGCCATCTCGTGATGACTTTAACAATTAGGAATGAATTAATTTTTTTTTTGGTTTCTTCTAGCCAAATTGCTTAGTATTTGATTTTTTAATTAGCCATAATATAGCCCAATAAGAATCCTGCCGTTCGCTTAGTTGTATCGGGATATATTTACAATTAAAGAATAATTTAAATTATATTCAATGTTAAAGAGTTATTATTAAAAATAATGACTCATAATATCCTATATTTTATCAAATAAATTTCATTTAAATTCCTTTCACTCCTAATTTTATCAGGAAATCATCAAGAAATCTTAATTTTTCAGGAAACGTAGATCCGTTATAATTACAAATTTCATCATTCACGCGCTTAGACGTTTACCCCCTTTTTTTTCCTTTTTGATTATTCTAAATGAATTCAGACAAATAATATAAAGTATATATAATATACTAGGTACTAAGGTATCTAGGAATTAAGAATATGACTACTGCTCAAGACATATTCAGGAGGGACGAAGGCTCTTACTATAAAGTAACAAACAAAACTGATTACTTTGATATCAAGGGAGTGCTGCAATATTATAAGCACCCCTTGGATACGCCCCATTATATATAGGCTAATCTTGCTTATTAAACAAATGTTAACTAAATTGAGTACGTTTCGCAGACATACAAAAGCTATTCATTCATTGTACAGTACAAACGTCTACAAGCATGAGTATGTAAGTAATCAACAGTCACATGAATATTTAAATCTTACATAAATTTTTGTATAAAAAAATTATTTAAATCCTGTTTAAAATATCACAAAACCGGTATTTCAATAGAATTTTCAGAATCGATTTTCTGTGAAAACAATTCTTTCGCAACGACTACGCAGAAAAATAACATTTTAGAATAGATTTTGCTTTCGATATCGAACACTCATTGATCTTTAAAACAAAAAAAAAAAAAAATCAATTAAAATCGAATAAATTTTATAAATTTCTTCTCTAGCGTTAAGGTTGGCCAAAAGTCAGTTAACCGACTTCTTAGAAACTTTACAATTTATTTTTTTGTTCAATACACAAGTTATATAACACGTTAACAAGTTGAATTCTATCCTCTAAAGATTGGTTAACTAACTTTTGGGACACCCTTTACATTTCGGCACGTACAGAAATCATTATGCTTACACTAGAAACGTAAAATGTAAATTTTTAAAGAGTATTTTTTTTTTTTTAATTTAAAAGTTATATTAATTAACACCAATAAAACTAATAGATAAGTCATATTCTGTAATTAAATTATTTCTAATCTGAATAAAAAATAGAAATTACTCACTCTTCTGCCGCTTTGACACTAACTGGATCATATAAATATTGAATTTCAAAGTCTCCTAACGAGTTTGTACCTTTCGAACTTAATAATTTGGTAATGACCATAACGTCGAGTGTTATTTCTTTATTGGGTATTTGATTCAGAATATCCTTTTCTTCTAAAGGTCTCTAGAATTTAAAAATGCCGCGATTTAAACCTAAATTTAATTTAATGATAATTAAAATTAATGATATATTAAATATACCTTATCTTTAGGTGGTTCCCCTGTTAATAATGAAGGATAATTGGGAGGAAATGCGTATTCATCGTATTGCTGAAAATTCGCTGCGGCGTGTCCTATGCTACAAGTCGATATAATTGAAGAAATTGTTAAAATAACATGTTCGTAATTTGTAAATTTTCCATTTTCGTCACCAGGAACACCCTAAAACGTCAAATTTTCGTGTAATTTTATTAATAAGTCGTATTAATTTGCATGCGAGCGCGTCGCGTCGCGTCGCGCGGAGTATTCGCTAACTCGTTCTCAACAATATAATAGTTTTTTTAAATATGTTCTTCTGCTTATATAATAAAATATTACACGAAATATATATCGTGAATACATATTTAAAACCTATAGAAGTTATATAAATATTTAAGTGACGAAAAAAAAAGAATTAATGTAACTTATTAAATCTAAAGCGACGCGCCGGCGCGCGCTAGAAGGTTTTTAAGATAAATGATAAGTCACGATTTTATTCATTTTTCTNGGAAGCAAGTCACTCTGTACTTTATCAAGTAGGCTTGTGTTTCTTCATAGTTGACAACTAGAAGTTCCATTATTTTATATATATATTTTTTTTTTAAATAATTTTCTCAAGTATCTACAATACTTTCCAGCCCTGTAATAGGGGAGAAGAGATAGATGCACAGTACATTTATCACTTTCCCAGAAAATGTGTTGAATGTAGTATTTTCCTTTTGTATATCCACAGGCAACGATAACAAAGACATGGCAAGACATTGCCTTGGGGCCTCAATCCAAAGGGAGTTTCAGAAAGACTAAATCAATTTATTGGCCATAATAAAAATACTTACAGAAACAGTTAAATAGTGAAATAGTGTTTTATTAGTTTATCCTTTAATTTTCACCATTTTCATTTAGGTGCGGAGAGAAAATTAAATACCTCTTTAATTAATTTAAAATGCGCCATTTTGCAATTGTAGAAAATAACTTATCGCCCTTATCCATTGGATGGGATAATTTTATATTAAATAAGTGTAATTAGTAATAAATTATGTGCATTTATAATGGCGTTTACTATGTACTTTGTGGTGTAAAATACTTTAATATAGTTAATAATAATGTAGAGTATGAGGAAGAGAATGAGAAAGAGGAGGAAAGATTCTAGTAGGGTATCTTCTCTCTTCTTTCATCCCTTGAGTAGGCTCTACCCTCTAGTCTCGATTTTTATCTATTCCCAGTCTGGACCGGAAGTCACGTGCATTTTTAAAATTAAAATATTATTAAAAACTGCAGCCCAGTCACAATAATTAATCTATTATTATCTCTTATCCATGTTTAAGGCACCTCTTTGTCATAAAAATACGTGAACTTTTTATCACTTCTCTAACGTGTTTTTACATTAAAGAATTAAATTTTGGAGCATTTGAGACAAATATTTTGGGACCCTGGATCTAGGGATCCTATCAAAAGGGCCTACTAATTACCTCTCTAACTTGGCCTGATCCTGTATATACTTATTGACCTTACGTTGTTCAACAAAATTATAAACAAATTTATGATGTTATTAGTCATAAGAGAGATGTAATTTTATAAGATTTCATTGTAGATTTAACGGGCGATAACTGATTTTCCTCATACAATTGTTTATTACAGGACGAACTAATAATTAAGACTCATAAACATTGGTGGGTTCGAGCCTGACCAACGGGATGGAGATTTGCGGTTTTCTTTACATGTCTAAAGCCTAAATAAGGGACAGTTTTCCAGTCCCCGTTGACAGATCGCGTTGCCATACCCCACCAAATCAAAGGTTTATGAAGAAAATCCATTCACAAGTGTATTCATATCAACTTTAAAACGTTATATCGAGGTTTGACTATATATCCCAATGTATAAAATAATCAGTAGGAATAACAATATTCTCGCAGACACCCCACACGAAGGCCCCTTATAATTACTTCTAAATTTTCTAATTAGTTCTAAATTTATATTCTAAATGTTGTCTGTAACTTGCGGGTTCGCTTCCTGGAGAAGATACATTTGTGTATTCTTTACAAAAATTCTATAATATATAAAAATTTTACAAAGGAATTGCTCACATGGATCTCTTATGGAGTGACATAGGATATTTAAGCTAAATGAATCTTTATTAAATATAATACTTTAAGGAGCAGAAGGGAGGATAAAATTAAGGATAAAAGAGTACATACAAAAAAAAAAAAGCAATTGAAAAAGACTAAAAACATAAATTTCATAGGGAATTTATACGAATTTCATCGCTTCAGAAACGTTTATTTAAATAAATATTCTCGTGAAACTTAATTAAATTTCCAACAAATATTTAAAATATACAAAATATGAAAGAAAGCAAAGTACTGTACTTTTCAACGTGTAAACAGCGAAGGAAGGATGATGTAATGCTAAGTGCCTGAGGCTAAAAATTAAAATTATCCAACCTTGTATCACGTAAATAAATAAAACACGATCATTCAATAAAAAAAATAAAATAAAAAAATCATAATAATAATAATAATAATAATTAGAATTAGAATTTATGCTATTTTTATTTTTAAAAAAGGAAATATATTTTTTAAACAATTATTTTTAGGAATTTTATCTTTATTTATTGTAAATATCACTTTAAAAATTCGATTTTGTTTTAATAATATTTATATAAAGTCATGGTAAGAGTTACTACGTCACTTATTTTTCTATATTTTTCACTTATTGATTTTTAGTTAAGCCGGATTCTTTCAACGTAGCACTATATTTAAACTTAATTCAGATTTATAACAAAATGATATCGAGTTATAGCAATTTATTTCTATCTGTAATATTATAAATATCACTTAAAATAGAACTATTGTACGGTATCGAGTATAAATAAGTTAACAAATAAGTATCAATAACAAACAAGGCCCCTATTAATGGCTGGCTTTGCACAAACTGCTTTAGGGTCTTACGTTTTAAATTTATTATTGTTTGATGAGCAGAAAGTATTTCAGGCCAAGCAAGTATATACCTTGAATATACATAAAAATTTATGAATATTGTAACGTTTAATCTATAATTAAGAAGTTTGTATGTTAACTGTACATTTAAATGAACGAAATTACCGCAAAATTATTGACAGTTACCTTATAAGAATTACTCCATTAAGGGTCAATGAGAATACTTATTACTATAATTTGTATTAGAATAGTAGAATAATACGGTTTAAAAGATCAGCTCCAGAGTTTTTCGGGTACACGAGCAAACATGGAAATTAGAAAATGGGAAAGTAGGGAACTTTATCGTTATGGGTACAAAAAGGCTTAAATGGTATGTGCAGGTACAGTTAAGTACAAGGATAAGCATAGTCCTTAATTATGTACTTATGAAAAGACGAAATAAAAAATCTAACAGAAGTTACGGCAAGTATAAATACTGGGTGGCCCAAAAGTCAGTTAACAATGTTCTGTTTTTGTAATTGCTTCATAGCTAGCAATTTGTGAAAATATGCCAAAGTATTATAAACAAGAACAACCATTTAAATAAGAGAGCAATTTAGATTTATAATTGTTAACTGACTTTTGCACCATTTTGTATATAAGTAAATAGTATTATAAACATTGGTATTAATACAAATAATAATCCTAATTCGAATTTAAATAATTTCAAAACGATATATTTATAAACATGAAATAATTTAGAATAATAATAATAATAAATTGAAGATGCTTATTTTCAGACTGAATATTCTTGGAACAACTTAACATGTCTGGCGAATATTTTTTATTATTATTATTCAGAAACCAGTTGGAAATGTAGAATATTATTATTATTATTTCTTTTTTATAATATAAAACATTCCATAACGATTAAACATTTTCAAAATATCCACTAAAAATGTTTGAAAAATAAAACTTGTAGATCAAATTTTATAGCATATTATTTATTTATATTATTTATTTTCACATTTTTGTTCTTTATTTTTATTCCAAACGGCAGAATGACTCTCAAGAAAACAATTTTAATAATTCTTCAATATTTAAAATAAATTTTCTAAGTACTTTAAAAAATAAATAAATATATATATAAATAAACTTAATTAATATTATTAAGCGGCCATATTTTTGAAAATCTTCATGCTTGAAAACATAAAAATAAGAAAGGAAAAAAAAAATCATCTCCTGTTGTAGGCCTGAATGTATGACGCAGTCGGGGATGGTTTAAATTGATTTGGCCGATAGGCTCAATACATTTTAAAAATATCCACCCCCCGTACCTATGAATAATTTTGTTTAAAAGTCACAGATGATACTATGAAGTAATTTGGTCGCCTCCCCTATAGGGATTTATAAATAAAATATTGCCTGGAGTCTTACGGGTAGGATAACAAAATATACTAGTTTTATATCCAAGAGAGACTGTCAATAATGGAAACTCTATTTACAACAATTTCTGAAACTTTTCTTTCTTTTTTTTTTTTAAATAATAAGTTTCTAAATCAGCATAAAATTAATAATTAAAGATTTACTTCGTGTAAAATGAAGGGCGTGAATCTATAATATTCCTGCTGTAGTATTCATTTAAACGCGTGACTTCTCTTGAAATATTAAAATGAAACTTGTTTCTTATTCTTCAGGTTTCTTTTACGTACTACAAGGCCATTTTTAAGTAGTACTTCTACGTTTACATTGATAAATATCTTGTACGACAGGAAATTATAGTAAAATTCAAATGTTGTAATATTCAAATACAGTAAAACCTGTTTAAAATGAAATGATAACCTGCCTAAACGGAAATAATTCTTCGAAACGGAGCGATATTCTATATGTAACCTGTTTAAAATGGAAACCTGTCATACCGGAAAAAAAATATTCAGTACCGTGAGATGCAGGTTATATTGTATATTTAAATAAATATTTTACTGTATTAAAATATTTAAAATTTATTAAAAGAGAAACTCAAAAACACCATTTTTTTCACACGCTTTCATGACTAAAATCAAAATGTCTGAAGGTTACTTTTTAGAAATTTTAGAAAATTTACAAAAACTCGCATTTATAAAGATTAAAATAATAATAATTTTTTTAATTAAGTATTTTTTAAATCAAAAGTTTTAACATTTTATTCGAATTTTCTTCACACCAATTTAGTAACTGTTAACTGTCACTGGCGTCGCTGTAAGCAACGTTTTATAAATATGCAAATTAATTAGAACGTCCCCTGGTGGATGAAATAATTATCAAAATTGAAGAGTAAAATATGTAAATAAAATTTTATATTAAAACGAGAAAATATCGTAATATAAAATAAATAAATAAATAAATAAAATAGCAAAAATTCAGTGAGACTTTGAAAAACTAAATTGAAAAGACGATAAATTAATCTAGTTACTATTTCTTTATATTCAAAAATATTTTAAAAATTAATATTTTATATAACTCAGTCCTTCACGACTTAATAAAATTTTTATGTATTTCAAACAGATGTAAAAGGTAACGCTTTCTGTGTATTGAATTATTAATTAAATTATTAATTTAACATTAAATAAATTAATCTTACATTTTAGCTAATTATATTTTTAATTTGTCATCGAATTTTATACATTTTTTTTTCCATATAAAAAAGAATAATATAGTGAAGCGTAAGTGCTTACCAGGGCGTGGAGTATATGCATTTAATCATGAATAAAATAGCTGTTATTTAAATATAAAATATTTTTACATAATTATTAACCGTTGAAGCGCTCTGTCTTCATAATTCTGATGCGTTAACGTTTACCTAACATGCGTGCCAAATTCTTGAATACAAAACCATACGCGAATGCCATTGTTTTATGTCGCAAAATAATTTTAAATAAATTATTTAAAGTTGTATTTCAACTTTGCAAACCGTGATTTTATTCAATATATTGATTGTTTTACATTCGTGTAATGTTTTGTCGTGAAACTTAACCTTTTTAATGATCGGCACCCCTTTGAATCGCAAAACACGGTCTCGCACCTCTTTGAAAATTATGATCATGATGGAAAAGGTACAGAGGATAGTAGTAAGAGTTCTGCTTATCGTGGACTCTGAGAGTACCCAGTATGTCGAGTTGAATTTATATAGCATAAGACAGCTTTAAAGTTTATATTATACATCTAAAGTTTAAAAACTTATTGTTATCACTCGCATCCTCCAAAGGTGCAGCATCCTAGTTAATAAAACACTGTTTTAAATTAATATATCATTTACTAAAAGATTGCCATTATCTTTAAACTAGTAAAACAACTTATGAACATGTTTATAAGATGCTCCTCATACACAGAAACACGAGATTTTTATCTGTATTTGATGGCGAAGAATAAAGCATGATTGTAAGATTCTAACTTATACAGAAAATGTCATACATGCTAATTTAAAAAAATGTGTATAATATTAAAAAGATTAAACTACAGTTTATTTTAATTAAAAGTCAGAACTTAATATATTTTTATTTATTTTTTTTAAAGAAACAGTGCAACAAGTCGCGACATGGATTTTGCTCTGTATCTCAGGTGGTGATTCGCAATGAAATACTTATAAGACTTTCCTTATAAACAACAAGAGTAACAACGTAAGTATTTGTGTTTACTTTCGAACAACTTTTCTAGGGGTTTAAATTGAAAAAGTAAAAAAATTCCAAGTAAAACCAATACCCCAACAACTTCAAAACTTGAATTTTCTTGCTGCACGTAATAAATAATTCATAAGTTGACCCCAGTAGAAGAAATAAGGAAAAAGTATATAAAAATAAATTAAAAATACTTACAGGATTATCCGGTTTCGGATCCTGAAATAATTGTATAGCAATTGGTAGAAGATCATTATCTTTATTCAAATAAAAGAGAGCAATTGGTGAACATATCTGTAAATTAAAAAAAAAATCATCAATAAATAAATATAAAATATATCCATTTTATGCGTTTAAATATTTTAAAAAATAATATATTTTTATCACAATTTAGGCACCATTTTAGTATCTTTAACCCGATAAGATACAATCAAAATAATACTTTAACATGGCATCCTTCTTGACCAGTAATGGACGATTACAGAAGAAAAATGCATAAAATATAAAGTTTAAATTAAAATATTGCAATGTAATTACTTACTTTTTAATATATTTATATATAATTGATAATAACATAATTAATTTTAGGGGAATTAACTGTAATTAACCTAACTTATATTTAGTAATTTTCAGAAGATGGCGCTACCATACTTGTACTGTACTGTACTACAAAACACGGTATTGATCGCTTTGTTTTCTTAATGTAATTGTAAATCATTTTCTTTAATTATTTATGAATATTTAATTTTTATATCAATGAATTTATCTTGAATATTGAAACAAAATTGAATCTTATAGCTTTAATATTATAAATTATTAAATATAGTATAAACTGGAAGATAATTGCTCCAGGACATTCCATTTTATCTAAATTTAATACACTGTGCTGTGTTTTCTTACGATTTTGAGATTTATACGAATTTCAAATTATAAGAAACCACTTCGCAATTCACTCCACTCGTATTTCATTACTTTTTTTTCAATTTATGGACACTTAATTAAAATTTTGGGATTTATATAAACCTCAAAACACTGTGCAATGGCTGCTTTGAAGGGTTGGTTTGTCTATAATGTTAGTAGGGGATAATGTATTCTTTTCTTTCTTTTATTGTGTTGCATTGAGGAGTGGTTTCTTATAATTTCAGGGTTTATACTGTTTAAACCTTAAAATCATAAGTAATCATTCTATAGCTTCTAGAATGGCACATATAATCCTGCATTTTTGGCATACAAAATTCATTGTATTGTACATTCTTAATTTTTATCTGTAAGTATATTTGATATACCTCATTACAATAGGTAAACACAGTTTCATTTCTCTTATAATTTTTCTAAATTAAAGACAAATGAAACATTCCTCATTATGGAACAAGATGGCGACCGTTTCAATTTAAACTACACATAAATTAAACTGTAATTAAGCTTTCATTTCACTCATAATTTTACAAGATTCAGCTAAGAATTTTATTATGTCTTTAGAATAAAATAATAATAATAATAAAAAAGAAACCATTATAAATATTTATATATATTCACTTTCATTACTGAGTTTTCATTGAATTATTTTATAAATATTCAATGAATATTCCGGCATCACTCAACTTTATATAAGCAGCATCTTCAAACATATCATAAAGCAACATTACGTAACTTCAACATGCATAAAATATAGAACATGTGGAGTGAAATTATCACATAAAAATATAACTTGTCTTAAAGCATCAACTAAAATTATAAAATAACATTTATACTATAAATAGTAATAATAAATGCATTAATCTATTTAATGTAGCTATATAAAACTTTTATGACTTCTATGATACATGATTCTAAATCTTTGAAGTACATGACTTCTTAACAAAATGTTTATCTATAGAAATTAAATATTGAATAAGTTTTCTATTAATAATAATAATAATTCTTACCATAAATTATATTTAATTGGAATTTTTATTATTAGAAAATATCCAACTTTATAATCAAAATATTTCTTCCCTCTCAACCTGTTTATCATTGAATGAAGAACAGGTTGAGATGGAAAAACTGATAATTAAATTAGCATTATAATTAACTCTTATATTTAATTATTCTATTAAATACAGTAAAACCTGTGTAAACCGGAATCGCACGGTATTTAAATATTTTTCATGTTTCCGCTTTAAACAGGTTATTATTATTATTTTTAGCAGAAAATCGGTCCGTTTCGAAGATTTTTCCCGTTTAGGCAGGTTTCCGTTTTAGACAGGTTTTGCTGTATAATAAAATTTTATAATGGTTTCTATATTTAAAAAGTACTGTACTTTTACAGGGCAGAATACGCTTGGCGCCGCGCCGCGTCGCGTCGCGAATCGCTTGAAACACGAAAAATTAATTAATGTTCAATACTTATTATTTTATTTATAATAAAATTACGAAAAAATATAAAAATTTATGATTTTGAAAGCTGTAAATTTTTTTTTAATTTAATATATTTTTTTGGGAGAAAATAAATTAGATAAAACATTAATGTTCTAAGCGATGCGGCGTAAGTCCCTATCCGTATGAAAAATGAATGAAAGATTGAGTAAAATCATCATCATCATTATCATTACAACCTTTAAATTACTGAGTAAAATTTAGAATTAACTTTTATAAATTATTTTACTGTTATTAAATAAGAATTGCTTCGTTTACTTGTAAACAATAAAATTACTCTAACTTATTCGCTTCGCGCGAGCGCATCGCCCATCCGTTTACGGAAGAAAAAATAAATAAATAAATAAAACTAATAATTTTATTAAAAATAAAACAGAAAATGTTTTTTTTTAAAATTATAACTTATTAATATTACAAATCTCATTTGAATATTTATTATATATTTAATAAATAAAAGCCGTATACGCCGAATAAGTTGGAGAGTGCGTAACGCGACGCGACGCGACGCGCACAAAATTGATTATAATTCTCGAGTGATAAAATTAATATAAATATACTAATAATGACAAAGGCAACTTACTATCCTGCTATTCCTGCAACTAATTCCTTGGAGGATCTCCAGATCGATTATGTAAATCCTTTTCTTTTCTATAGCCTCTTGTAGAGTCATGGTTTCCAAAAATGGCTCCACCATGTGATTTTCAAGAGGAAATCTGTAAAGAAATTGATAATTTCATATTAAATTAAAGAATATTAAGATTGATTCTGTTAAGTCAATTCATCGTTATATATATATATATATATATATACATACAAAATATATATATATTTTATTCTTCATATTTGGATACAGATATGTCTCCTTGTATATAAATTTGTTGAAGTCATATCAGAGACCTTCCAGCTCATGTTCACAGCTTTGGGGTATCGAGGACAGGCCCATGGCGGCGGGAATGTGGCAGCTGCCACTGTTTGTACATACATTTTTGGACTCCCCCGTTGGGTCTTTTTGGCCTCTGAGTAAAAGCAGCATTGCTGAGCACACAGTTTCAATATGCTGACTTCCCGGCGGTACAGCGGGCATTGCGGTGAGATGACACTGTGATCCCCTTGCACCAGATGCAGCGTTGACTGGTCTTAGCGCAGAGGGCCGGGTCCTCCCCTCACCGATCACAGCATCGGTGCCCCCGGCAAGTCTTCGCCGAGTGCCCGAAAGACAGGCAGCA